TCATGTAATCATTTGCAACAAAATATTATAAAATTATTTCACACAATGAAAAGGCATAAAGTTGGCAAAACATTCATACATTCATATTTCCTCAATGTAATAAACTACATTAAAAAAAGAATGATTACATAAATAGAGGCAGAAAAAATATTTGGCCAAATTCAAAATTAATTCTTGAATAAAAACAAATTCTTAATAAATTAGGAATAAAATCTCTTCATCCTAATTAAAGTTATCTAAAAATTTTTACAGCTCATATTATAGCCAATGGTGAACAAATCAGTGCTTGCTCTTCACAATTCAAAAAACAAAAAAAATAGTATCCATTTAGTACTTGTAATCACTGTCATAATGTGATTTTCTAGTGCAGTAATGCAATAAAAATAAATAAAAGCCATGGAAGAAATGCTTGTCCTGATTTCTAAAAGACATGATTGTTGTGCACATAGAAAATGACAAGAAATTTTTAAAAATTCTCCTTGAACAATAAGTGATTTGCCACGTTGCAAAATACAAACTCAACTTAGAAAAATCTATTGTATTTTTACATATTAGCACGCAGTAATTCGAAACCTAGGACAATGCAAACGTAGTGATCAGGGCCAAAGCTGTCAGTGAGAAGAGGGTGGACTCCGGGAACGACATCTATGACAATCCCATCAAGAGTATTCAGGATGAGATCAAGCAGATAAAGATGTTCAAAGGACCGGAGAAAGACATAGACTTTATCTACAAGGCCCCCTCCTGGGCAGTGTGTGGGGTCTCACTGGATGTTGGCAGGAAGAAGGAGTATCTCATTGCAGGAAAGTCCGAGGGGGATGGCAAGAGGCACATCACCCTCTGTGACTTCACGGTGTCCTAGGACATTCTGAGCACGGCCCAGAAGAGCCTGAACCACAGGAACCAGATGGGCTGTGAATGCAAGATCATATGCTGTCCCATGATCCCATGCTACATCTCTTCCCGGGCGAGTGCCTCGGGACGGACTGGGTCACAGAGAAAAACTTCAGTGGCCACAAAACCAAGTTCTTCGCCTGTAACAAGAGGAGTGATGGCTCCTGCGCATGGTACTATGGGGCGGCGGCCCCCAAGCAGGAGTTTCTTGACATGGAGGACCCTTAAGAGGCCACCAGCACCCCTGTGGCCAATTGAGAAGCCTCCAAGGGTCTCGACTGGTCCAGCTCTGACATCCCTTCCTGGAAACAGCATGAATAAAACCATCATCCAAATGGGTCCAAACAAAAAAAAAAACTGCTTATACAGTTAGCAAAATTTGTACAGATCCTCTATGGTGAAGAATACAAATTATTGATGAAAGAAATTAAAGAAAGCCTAGCAGACAAACATACGTTGTTTGGAAGGGTCAATGTAGTAAAATTGTCACTTGTTTCCAAATTAATCCACAGATTCATTACAATTAAATTTAATGAATTAGAATTAAATCCCAGAAGTTAATTTTAATGATATAGACAAGATGAACCTAAACGTTTTATGGAAGTACAAAGCCTATTAGATATCCAAATAATTCTAAAAAAGAGATATTATGGAGAAATCTATCGGATTGCAAGATTTGTTATAGCTATAGTAATCAAAATTTATGGTATTGGCAAAGTGAGGCAGAACACACATAATTCAATGGAATGGAATAGATATTCTAGGTAGATCTATATACATATGGTCAGTTGATTTTTGACAAATTTACAAGGGAAATTTAATAAAAGACAATAGGCTTTCAAGAGACTCTGTAACAATTGGACAAATTTATACACATAAACTGTTATCTATATTTCATATATTAAACAAAATTTAAAATGGATCATATATTTAAAATGCCAAATATGGAACATTTTAGAAGAGATTACATGTGAATGTATTAATGACCAACGGTTATGCAAAACACCCTTAAAAGAAAAAATATACACACATACATTTTTATATGTGACTTCAAAACATTAAAATTCATCATGAGGGCCCGAGATTTAGTTCATTGGTGTTGTGTCTGCCTGGCAAGCATAAGGTTCTGAGTTGGATCCGCGGTACCAGAAAAAAAATAAATAAAATTTTTTTTAATTAAAATAAAATTCATCATGATTAAAACTTTGAGCTCTTTGAAGAGTAACATTAGAATAGAAAAGGACAAGCTACATATTAGGAAAAATATTTAAAATCACTTATCCAGCACAAGTCTTGTATTCAGTATACATGAAGAGCTCTCGACATTTTTTTGGAAACAACTGAATTAAAAATGGACAGCCTACTTAAACAGTCCACTTAAAAATAGGAGATGCATATGGCAGATAATCACAAGAAAATTAACATAGTTTATTACTAGAAAAATGCAAATTATAGAGCCCAGTCTGGTGAGAATACCTAGAACTGTCATCTATTTCTAATGGGAATGCTGAATGGGACAGCTAAGTTAGAAAAGAGTATTCAGTTTTTTTATGAGCATACACTTAAAACATAATCCAGTGATTCCACACCCTAGAGAAAAGAAAATATGTTGAAACAAAAAGTATGAATTCTTACAGTAGCTCTATTTGTCACAATTGGTACCAACCAAATATATTTTAGTACATGAATCTGAAAACATGCTGTCATAGATCTATTTATTGGATCACTAGCAAGCATGAAAAGTGAATGGACACTTAAATTAAAATGATAATAATAACAGTAAGAGACAGTCACCTAAGTTGGGTGAGTCTTAGTCTTCTGTCTGAGTGCAAGGAGCCAGGCCCAAAAGGTTCCATTCTATAGAATTCTTATTCAGTGATACTCTCAGAAAAGGCTAAATTACTATGATGTGAAACATGTATATCAGTGTTGGCCAAAGCTTCCTGGTAGAAGTGTTTGTAACTACAAAGAGAAAACACAAGGGAGCTTTGAGGCTATGGGCCTGTTTTGCATCCCTATTTCAGTGGTGTTTGCATCATTCACAGCGTGTTAAAATCCATAGAGCTGGACAACAAAAATAAAAATTCTTATTAGTTTGATGTTAATAATAATATAAAAATAAAATTATTTAAATAACACTGAGAGTTAGAGACCAGCCTGAGCTACATAGCAAGACACTGTATAAATGTATAAATAAATAATTTGTGAATTTTGTCCTTTGTGAATTGTTTGAAATAATGTATAAATCCTTTACTCGAGCTTTAATCCCAAAATCAAGAAGGAATATTAGAAAAATTCTTTGGTAGGCCAGTACTTTTGTGTTCTTATGTTCAAAATTAGTTTCAGAAATACCATGTCGAACAGCTTGATAAAACTCACTAATAGCCTTTCATTCATTGTTAGTCTATGTTAAAAAAGTACATCAAGGAAACCATCCAGCATATCACTTCTTTACCCAATGTAATTGAATTAAAAAAACCTACCAGTATTGGTCTATTTAGCTTTCAAGTTGGGTTCTAGTGGCTTATGTGGCTCATAATTTATGAGCTACAGAAGCAGTGATACATTACTTCCAAGGCTGGGTCATAAACATACTGCAGCCACTACCTTCTTCTATTTTTTGGATTGATTCCTCTGGAGTAGCCAGCTCTTTTGCAGTAAGGACACCCAGGCAGTGACATGAAGAGAAGCCAATTTTCCAGCACCAATCTTCCATCTGTGCCATTCACATGCCATCCACTCAGGAATGAGATTATACAGCCTCATCATCAAATAACTGCAGGCCCCACCAACATTTGACTGCACCCACCTAGAAGATAAGGAACAAAAGTCTTCCCCATCAATACACTCTCATATTCTTAACTCACAAAATGAGGTGTAGTAAATGATTATTATTTTCTTAGGCTAGAAGTGCAACTTGTGTTATATATACACAGTATTGAAAGTCATGAGGACCAGTGATATATGAATTATTAAGAAAGAAGTGAGGAAATAAAGAAAGGCAAATTAAATTGAAAAAGATGTTGGTAGCAGGAGTTATAAGCCTTCATCAAGATGCAGAACTGCTAGAGAGGGAGGAGGGAGGAGAGAGTAACTTGCATGACGTAGAATTTTCAACAGTACTGCATGTGTGAGAGAGATTAGCCAGGAGTATGCATATAAGAAACTATGACTGAACCTAGGCTGTGGATCAAGAAGACCTAGCCAGAGGCAAATGTATGAAGGCTCACAGTGTAATTGAATCAGTTATTAATCATCATGCAGAAAGCGCATGTATGTTTTGTTTCTGTTTGTTCTTTAGTTCATTTAATCATTTCATTATAAATGACTGCCTTCCTATCACCCAACTAGAAAGACTGTGAAAACAGTATGAAATGGTGACTTATTAGTGGAGGGTGATTTCTGTGCATGGAACAAATAATAAAATGGAATAAGAAAAAGAATGCAACAGTAATTTTTCACTTATGTTTGGATTTTGGATATTTTGAGAAAAAGTTTTACATATCAAATAGTCGTGTAATTAGTTACGGGATTTCTATTTTGAAACATGTCTTTGAAACCCTGGTCAAACCCTTGAGTGAGAAATACAAAATAAAAAGGGGTTAATATCAGGTTGGTAATATCAAACATAAAATGTTAGTAAGCATATGCAAAAGGAAATATGTCTAACTAAATAAAAGGGGGCTAGTATGTTCTTGTTATTGTCAAAACATGTTGCTAAGCATATGCTAAAGGGAATATATCTACATATGATGATTTTAGAGGGAGGTAACCATGACCAGGGCTGGCATCTATTATAAATACACTTTGGGAGCAATAATAATGATGATGATGATGAATTTGAAGTTATAATGACTTATGCAAAGTCACTGCAAATGTAACTATACTATGATATTTATTTTGAACTGTTTGACTAAAAGCAAGGCTATTTCTAACAATATGAATGAACAACTATACAGAAGTTTTAAAATAAGGTATGTATTACATTACTACCATGATACATCATGGAGTCAGCAAGATTTGGTGTCTAGCTATGCCATTAATAATATAATTTTAGCAAAAATTTATCAAACATAAATGTTATTTTTTCTTTAATTTTCAATTAGGTATTCAATTGACAGAAATACAGACTTGGAGAGATACTTCAATATTGATGCCAACAGTGGAGTTATTACAACTGCAAAATCTTTGGATCGAGAGACAAATGCTGTTCATAACATCACAGTCCTTGCAATGGAGAGCCGTAAGTTGTAAGGTTTAAAATTGTATTAGGATGGAGGACAATGAGAGTGGAAGACAGATTGTTGCGAGATTGCAAAGTCAATGTGAATTGTAACAACTGCTTAATTGATTTGAACAAAAAATATGAATGTCCAAAATGTCCAGGCTTTAAAGAAAAAGCGCATATTAATTTGCCCCATATGATAATATTTTCACAAATTAATGAAAACAGAATAAAATAATAGGTCTACATTACCTTTCAAGAACTATTTGTGGTTCTATGGTCACAGTTTATTTATTTCATTTATGGTGATGAGGAATTTGCAAAATAACACACAAAAACTAATAACTTGATTCCTACCAAGACAAATAAATTTGAATATCTGGTGTTGATCTTATTTTAGTCATTGATAAAAACTTCATTCAAAAATGCATAACCATATGCATATGCACATATTATATATTATATATTAGTTATAGACATGCAGCTACAATACATGTATATATAATATGAATGCATGTCCATAAAATTATGAGCTGTTATCAAAGAATATTGAATTTTTTGGTTTATTCTTCATTCTTTCAACAGTGGTTTTATCAAAGACTAAAAGCATACATATACATAAAATATCACATAAACATATAGCAAAACATGTACAAATATATAAACCCATATACACACACATACCATGTATATACAAATACATATATGTATAGTATGTATGTGTATACATACTATAAATATTCATACATGCACACATGTGGATCAGGATATCTGTGAATCCTTGAAAGAATATAGGGTATGATTCTAGAATTCATTTGAGATGTATCCTTTTTTTAGAGATGCAAAAATTTTTGTTTGATTTTTAGTATATTTTTGCCTGCTGTTCATGTAAGTTTTATTAGTAAAATAACAGAAAAATAATAAAATTTGTATAAAAGTGCCTGATACACATTTTCTTATTTGTTAGAGAATCCATCTCAGGTAGGAAGAGGTTATGTGGCCATCACCATTCTTGACATCAATGACAATGCCCCAGAGTTTGCCATGGACTATGAGACCATGGTTTGTGAAAATGCACAACCTGGCCAGGTGAGTCTTCAAAACACTTTACTCCTCATTTGTGATGTCTTTAAAAATATCCAGTAGCAATGCCTTTGAAATCTTCCAGGTTAAGATAACACATAATCAGCTTGTTTTAGCAAAACTTATACTTTGATATACAGCATGAATTAATATTAAAAGGACTTTCAAATCTTGGTTTAATTGGGTGATGAAAATTTCTCAGGAAGAAAAGGGAAACATTATAAAAGGCTTTTAAATGGTTCAGGGCTTAGACTCTTTCAAGGAGAAATACATTAAACTTATTTTGGCTCTGTCCATATTACAGGCAGCGTAAGTACCCGAGGTTCTAAGAATGAAATGCAGCTCCATCTCAGTTTGGTTTGTTCATTCCTTATTCAGTGCTCTTTTTTTTTTTTTTTTTGTACCTGGGATCGAACACAGGACTTTGCCCTTGCAAGGCATGTGACTGCACCACTGAGCTAAATCCCAGGTCTTGATCATTCCTGTTGTTCTGTGTCTTGTGATGCTTAATAAAATGTCTAATCAATTTGCACAGCTTATTTATGAGAATCACAAAAGTAAGTTTAAATGTGCACCTTACAGAGGACATGATTTGTTTCCCAGAGCCCTGTTTAGATTGGGTTCCTATTGGCACATCTGATCCATTCCTCCACTTCATTCAGGAAGACAGCAATTATTATATGGGAGAAAATTGCTCTGTCTTGGCTCAGAATACTTAGCAGAACACAGCAATATGTCTTCCTGCTTTACATTTTCTTTTCCTAGGTCATCCAGAAAATCAGTGCCATTGATAAAGATGAGCCATCCAATGGACACCAGTTCTACTTCAGTTTAACGATGGATGCAACAAATAATCACAACTTTTCCTTGAAAGATAACAAAGGTAGATATTGTCACCTGCAGAGGCAGCAAGTACAGCCTCTCTAAGCAAATAGTTTTTCTGTCTCAGGAATGCTGACTATGTATTTAAAGAAAAAAATAAAAGCAGCAAGGACATTTAATTAAACGGCAATGTAGACCTCAAGTAATTTTAACACAGATTTGCTATCATGACGGAGAAGCTGCTAGTTCAGTCATTTTCTGCTTAAAGCCAAGTGAGGAAAGTCAGATCTATTTATTTACTTTTTCTTTTCTACTAGACATTTTCTTCCTTACCAAATACTTTAACTAAATGATCTGTTAAGGACCAAATACCTTGATAAGGATTGTGCTGCATAGATCCAACTTGAGACATTAGGAAAATAAGTTCCACTAAATCAATTTTGGCTTGATACTTTCAAACATAATATTTTTACATAAAAATAAAGATAATCTATGAAAATAATAATATATTAATTATGCTAAAAATACAGTTTTATAAAAGAATTCTCTCTATTGCCACATTACATGTCCCTGCTAAATAAAAAATAATGCTTTAGCAACTTCCTAATCGTTATTATAAAAACATTTCTGCCAATACTTTGAGTCGATTCTGGTTTTGTTTGTTAATGTATTTTGACAATTATAACTTTTAAAGGAAGCATGTGAACTTTCTTCTATGTTGCAACTTTCCATATCTGGTTTCATTAGAAAAAATATAGAACTATGTAGATTAACATATGCTGGCTTAGTGGAAAGACTTACTTTCAAAAGGTGAATATTATGAGGGCTTTTGCCTGAGGCCACAATCAGCTTTACTGCAGAAAATCCAACCATAGCCTCAAAAATTTAATCTGAAAATAATAACTTTTTCCTTATCACATTCTCTACTTATTGAAAACTCTGTTGTCACTCTATAAAAGAAAGTAGTTTCCTATGTGGATAATCTCAATCTCTCTTACTTAATTTTGGTTGGAAAGGATCATCCTTGGCTCTTGGAGCAGTCAATACAATATGGAGAATATATGACCTTTATAAGAAGAATATGAATATATTCATGTGTCATGATCCTGTTCCTCCATGGTTGTTGTATAGAAATATCTGAGTTTCAAGGACATTCATACTAGAGCTCCCAATCCTGATCTTGAAAGGAGACATAAGCAGGAGGAAAAACCAATTCTTATGTTTTTTTCAATGGTAGGGGGAGCAAGTATAGAATATTAAAGTTTTATAAACTCTTTCTTTTATAAACTCACATATTAGCCATTTCAGCTTATGCTCCGAATTTATTGTGTGGATGTGTATTACTTTGATATCAGTCACATTAGGTTACAAATCAACAACTTTATAAAACTTTTTCTATTAAGTTATAAATATATGTAACATCTACATTGGTAAGATGCAAAGGCAAAGATCAGTGCGTTGCTCGTAAGTGTGTAAGAACATAAAAAAGAAGTATTCCTCAACAACTCCATGTTTACTTTTTCAGATTTATATATTTTAAAGTAAAATATTTGTTCCCCTAAAAATCTACCAGAAGGAAAATGATCATCAAATTTTTATTTCTGTCTCATTAATAACTGGGTTAATATTTTTCTGCAATCTAAGTGTGAGCTTGCTATTTTGTGCTGCTTGAGAAGAATGAATTCTTTTTATCCACAGTAATGTTAATCTTGTCATGCTAACATTGGATAAACACCCTTTGAAACTATTTGGGAGGGGAGGATGCACAGTAGATGAAGTTATGGTCCTAATCACCCCTCTAGTGCTTTGTATTTTCATTAATTGCTATAAATTCTAAAAATATCATAAATTCTCCAGTTAATTAAGACAAGTTATCTGGAGCAATTACTAACAGACTTTTTTAAAGTATATTTCTCATAAAAAATTTCAGTTATGTTATTGCATGTGTTGATCACTTTTTAAATCTTCATAATTTTTGTAATCTTCAGATTGAATAGAATACTGAATATAAATTGAACACAAAAGACCTGTGTTATCACTGACACACACACACACACACACCATTTGGGTGAGTAAAAATATAAAATATAAATTTTAAAAATATAAAATTTTCACAAGCTATACAATGATTCTTAATCAGAATATCTATGTACAGTCATGTGCTGCACAATAGTTCAGTAAATTATGGAACACATATATGATGATGGCTGTATAAGATTATGTCACCTAGGAGGTGTGACCACCTCAGTTACTGTATGTACAAGTGCCCCCACAAAGGTCAGATGTCCTTACACAGTTCCCAGAACATATGTCATCATTAAATGACATGAGACTGTGACTTAATTTAAATAAATCCACAGTGACACTTTTTAATTTCCCTATTTGAGCTTGGAACTTGGCAAAGAATGAATTGGAAATTTCTTTTGTGCTACATGATTATGTGCCAGAAATATTTAATCTGTTACCTCTTGTCTCCATCTCTGTAATTACATGGTTTAATATTTAAGTAAAAAGATGTATTATATGTAGTTTTGACAGAGTTACATTTAATAAAATAAATGACATACAAGCATCTTCATATTCAGCTCTACTTCATATCTATTTATTTGGCTATGTGCTGAATAATATAAATGTCTTTAAATGTATTACATCAGAAATATGTCTTTCTCCAATGAATCACAAAGAGAATTGTTGAATAAATATCTGCAATTCCAGGACATTATCCCGCTAAGGAATAAAAGTAAACATAAGCACTTAAAATTTGAAGACTGATCCCATTAGAAATCTTGCTATATACATTTGCTTTCTTTATCCTAGACAACACAGCCTCAATACTAACCCAGAGAAGTGGCTTCCGGAGACAGGAGCAATCTGTTTACTATCTGCCAATTTTCATTGTGGACAGTGGATCCCCCTCACTCAGCAGCACCAACACCCTGACCATCCGTGTGTGCGACTGTGACGCAGATGGCATAGCCCAGACCTGCAATGCAGAGGCCTATGTCTTACCTGCTGGCCTCAGTACAGGAGCCCTAATAGCGATACTTGCCTGTGTCTTGACATTGTTGGGTAAGTACTGTTTTCAGTGCTTGCTCTAGAGGAGCAGTTGCAAGAACCATGCTTCTCGCTTCTTTTTTTCACCCTTCCTTTAGATTATCGTTTTAAGAACATATAAAAATATTCTACTGGATGGTATTTGTTCATTAAATAACACACACTCGATGATCATACTGCCTAGTAGTTTGTTTGTTTGTTTATTTATTTATTTATTTATTTTTATTTTTTGGATACCAGGGATCGAACTCAGGTCCGTGTGCTTGCAAGGCAATCAGCGTAACCACTGAGCTAAATCCCCGGCCCCTAGTAGTATATTTAAAGTATAACACAGTCCAAATAGTTGTCAATTTCATTTTCCAAAAGACAGCAAAGATAAATGCCTTATGGATAGAAGTGATATTTTTCAAGATTTTTTTTTAAAAAGCTTAGCTTATGCCATTTATTCATATTAAAATATACAGCAAAGAATGTACCCGAGACTTGACTAAGGCTTCAGAAAGAACATTTTCTATGTTGTTTTGAAAATGTGCTTATTTTAGAATTATGGCTTTATTAGTCAACTTTTTCCAAAAAATTTAAAGTAGCTTTCTTAAATTATTTGCAAAATTTAAAATGCTGAAATTTAAACAATGCAAAAGTTCTACTTTCCTAGAAAATTATTAGCATATTTAATTCTAATTTTCTGTGATTATTTTATCACTTAGTTAAATTTGATTTATAACTCATATTAGCAGTGCAGGTTCATAAAAGAGAAGTCTGAATCCTTTTAAAAATTGGGAAGCATCCAACAAGGCCATTGGGTAATGGGTTTATTTCAGAGGAACTTTCTCCTTCAAATTTTAACTTACTACAACAAGGACAGTGAGAAATTACTCTTGCACATCAAATTGTGCTGCATGTTTTCTTGGGGTATAATATAATTACTAAATCCATTTATAATATATCATCATAAAAGCAGCACTTACAATGAAATTCAGCATTGTTTAAAAACTAGACTTGTGGAGCAAGATAAGACTAACTCCTCTTTCTGCCTCCAACATACACTGGTTGTTCACAAGGGGAGTCATGATTCTCTTTTAATAGCATCCTAATATGAAAGAAGAAAACAATAGAACTGGTCTCATGAGGTGGTTATGAGAATTAAATGAGATAATTCATGTAGAGAACAGAATGTCTACCATATAGTGAACATTCAATCTATTTTAAGTGTTATTGATGAAGCTAAACTCATCACTCTATTAACCATGCTAGGACCTACTTACTAATACAATGTAAACAGTCTCATAAAAGCAGAAGTTATTATCTTCAATAACTTCAGCTAAACAAATAAATCTAGAAGGAAATAATTAAACTATTTTTTTCACAAAGCTTCACACAGGTAGCAGAAACTTTCAGAAATTTATTAGAAATGGCATATAATTCCCAGTTAAAGTCTGATTAGAATATAAAAGACTAGAATAAATTTGAAAAAAAATGGAGCCATTGCAAACAACTTTTTATTGCTCTACTGGGTTCCAAAACATAATAATGAAGATGTAAATTAAATATTTACTTTATAGTAGTAGAATAACCTGCATAAGAATGTTTAAAAATTCCTTATGTGTTGAAGATGCCAATGTCTTTAGCTTGCAAATTCAGATTCAAAAGAAGAGCAAGAAAATAGGTACATAGTGAGTGGAAGATTTTTTAAATTTAACTAGTGTATCACAAACAATATACATTAAACTATAGCAAAAAAGGAATAAGATAAAACTATATTCCCCCATATTTGATTATCACCAATTGTATACTGACTTTTATTTAGACTCTCTCTTCCTCTTTGACATTAGATAAATCTTTTTGTCTGTTATTTTAGACTTTTTAGCATTTGCGGTTGCTTGAAAATTCTAATTCGTTAAGAATCATCGAGCTGTTATTCAAAGTAACTAAAATAAGAGTTTGGTTTTCATTCTATTTCATTTGATTTTATTCTCCATTCTTGGGTATTATATATATATATATATATTTTATATATTATATATATAATATTACTGTGTGTGTGCATGTAGGGTTGTCAAATTTTGTCAAAATTTAGGTAAGTTTGACTGCTCTTAATTTTGAGTATATTTCTTAACTATTAAGCGGTTAGAAATGCCTTATCCTATTCTTTTCATGGGAAGGGGGACACCAGCTTCTCTTTAATTCCTTCCCATTTGCAATGTTAACACTAACATTAATGAAATAGAACAAATGAAAACCTATAGAGGACTGAAATGTCATATTCTACTTAAAATGTTAGTTTCAGGAGAAATATTTTATTTGTGCCCATTTAATAAGCACAATAAAAGGATTTTAGGACAATTCAGTTGTATAATCTGTCTTCTAACACCCAGTTTCTTTCTGATTGTTCTAACAGTGTCTACTTGCAAAATGTGATTATCAATTCCAAATGTGGTTGCAGAATGGAATGAGAAAATGTAGATAATGTATGCACTGTACCATTAAGCACCAGTTAGGTTCATAAAGGTCTATAAATTTCTCTGTTGTACATTAAGAAATTCTTGATAAATGTTTAGATGTTTTTAATGAAAATATTAGGGGGATGTGGCATTGACATCCTTTAATCAAAGCAGTGACCTTGCCTTTCATGTATATCCTGCTTGCCAGGGGCTCCTTGATTGATGAGCATTTCAACCCAGGACAAGATTTGCTTCCTTCACAATGTGTGCTTTACATAATCTTGCATACTTTTGAAGAAAGATATCTAAGCTCCTTGGGTGGAACACATGTGTAATAACTTGAGTAAGTCACCTTGATGGTCGTACATGCCATCTAATGGAAGGCCCTTTAACTGCCAGGGGGAAAACACCATAGCTTCTCTATTTCCAATGGATGGCCTTTTTATCATGAAGATTTTATTGGTACAATAACTTTAGATAAACATAATGATCACACTCATCATATGGTTTTTGTACCTGTACATGATATATCTTGATTTTTATTTTTCCCATTCCCTCCCTTCTTCCCCTCTTCCTCTAATTTATAAGAGCTTTGTTTCCATTGTATCTTTATTTTCTCTTTTTATTCTTTTCCCTTCCTTCCTTTCCTTTTCTGCCTTCCCTTGTGCCCCTTCCCATTTGAACATTTTCTTCTTATTTCACAATATTTACTACACATTTTGGTCCTTTTTATACTTTCAATTTCTCACACTAAAGAAACAATGCAATATTTACACATGTTTGTCCAATTTATTTCACTTAAGAGTATGGTCTTAAGGTACATCCACTTAGCTGTAAACGTCCCAAGTTTATCTTTCTTTATGCTAGAGTAGTATTCCATTATATCTGTCTATCTATGTATCTATCTATCTATACCTTCATTCATCAGTTGATGGACATTTGGGCTGTTTCCAAGATTTATCTATTACAAACTGTGCTGCTACAAACATGGGTGTGCATATATCACTATGGGATAATCCTTTTAATTCTTTCAGGAAGATAGCAATAAACAGTTCTTATTCTATTCTGACAATCAAGATTTTATGCCTTATTTTACTTGTTTTTTTATAAAATTTTCTCAATGTCTAAAAATGTAAGTAAAAACAGATACTTATACTGCACTACAGTTTTAAATCAGGAGGTTCTGCCTGCAAGCTTTCATTATTATTGAGGCACAATATAATAATCAGTATCTTTTGCTCAGTAGCATTTTAGCTCAGAATTTTAATCTTCTTGTACATTGTTTTCTAATTTGGTGAAAGCAGATGATTATGGCTTTTTACTCTTTTTGTTTTTTCTTCACTGTCATAGACTATTTTCACACAATAAGTGCTAAAGACAATGAAATCCAGTATTTATAGGGGCTAAACATGGGGTTTAGGGTATGATATGCTTGGTTTCTGCTGGACAAATGACACATTCTTTACAACAGCTCAATAAATGGTGTAAACATTGTTTCTAGACACTAGGATCATTATTTGTAACAAACATTTTCAAACTTATAAATATTTTTCTACAAAAAGTAACAAGATGAAGCTGTAGGAGGGGTGATGAGAAATGAGAATCAAGTTCAATTAAAAATCAAAGTATAGGAGCCTCTGGGCTTTGGAATCTAAAAAGAGCATATTTTATTACTTCTCAGGTGTGTGTTGCAGTTATGTGACAAATTAAAGTGACTTGTAACATTACAGAGGTGATATACTGAATCTCCCAGCATATTACCATTGGGAGATATCCTAGAAATTGATTCTAGCCCAAACCCCTGTGCTTTACAGAGGGGAGTCTGCAGCACAGTTACATCAGGGTCTGCAAGCGTTCATAGAACAAGTTAGAGGCGCAGAAGGCGTAAGATTCTAGACTTCCCTAATCTCAATCAGTCTTTTATATTAAATAAATATTAAATAAAATGAATATTAAAATTAAATGTTAAATAGATAAAGAAATGCTTCATGAAAATACAAAAATCATTGCTTATATATAATCCTTTCTCAAGATATAAAATTCATGTTAAGTGAAATTGGATTTGTCAATCTTTACCTTTATCTGTATTTTTCTTACTGTATGGAAGAATTTTTTTCCTGATTTCTCCTCCATTCTCTCTTGCTCTTACTGTTTTAATGAATTTTTGACATCTAAATTCTTTAAATGAGATAATCCAAAAAATTAGAAATGGGGTTTCCTTCATTTACACTGAGCACAACCTAAATGGGAGACAGAATTGCCAGATTCAAATTCCATAACATAGTGATCGACCAGGTGCTTTATTGTTAATGCAGAAATATTTAATAATATATGGCAAGATGTCCTAGTATTCTAAAACTTTAATAAAAATGATGCTTCACTTCTAGTACCAACACAAATTTAATTATGAATTTTCATAGTTAAATTTGTATCTGTTGATATATATATAGTTTTTCTACTAGACCAAAAGCACTTTAAAGAAAATAATTGTATGGTTGTTACATTAAATTATTACTTTGATAGATTCTTAAGAAATTAAGAGAGAATTTCATCTGATTTGTTTTAAACTAGGTT